TCAACAATGTCAACAGATATTTGTTTACACGGCATTGTTGTGTTCCACAACAATGCCGTGTAAACAAATATCTGTTGACATTGTTGATGACGTCATTTTTTGATGACAAATTGGTTGAAGACAACGACTAATCACAAATTTTTATATTTCTTACACTTATTATTATATATTATACAGTCCCGCACAAAAACTGTTGTACACTCTTACTTAAAAACATTAGCCTTTACTTTGCACTACAGTAAGTGCCCCTTCCCCCAAACCCTCGTCCTATGCCTTATTTAATACCTTTATTTATGAGTGTGACTGTAGTCCGTTACAATGTTTTTTTCAAAGACTGCACACACAATCAAAACAGAAATTGACTCTTATGTAGGTTTTGAGGTCCTCGCTGCCTCCATCATCAGGGTGATGAGTCTCTCATTTCAATGATGATGGAGGCAGCAAGGACTTCTGAAACGTCGGTAAACTTCTACCGGACTACACGGCGCAACAACCTAAAAGACAGATATCTTCAACTGACTCTTAGTCAGTTAATATACAGCGTACATTGCGTTGGTGCTGCATTTCCATACCAGCAACTTGAAAAAAGATAAGCGCAAGAGACTTTTTAATAGGTTCTGTGTGACTGCATAACATAAGAAATTCAAAGCCCCTACACATTCACTGCCAATATTTTATGAAGGTGAGCAAAGTAACTGCATTAAATGTTACTAAATACATCTAAATTTTTTTAAGTAAATTTCAAAATGAGTTTCTTTTCCAACATTAGGTTGGGATAGGATGACATTTTCAGAAATGTCTGATGATAATGTTGCAAATATTTGTGATTTAAATGAAAGATAAAAGTGATTAATATACTGTCAGGCCCAAAAATGAGTAAGTTTGACTCACAGGTCTAAATTGAAAGAGACGGTAAAAAGACAATTCAGTTTGCACAGGTGATATAAATCAGTATATCATTACCTAAGACATTAAATTGTGAAGATTCCTCTTTATCTACCATATTGATAAGACTGAGCATGGATTCTGACCCTGTTTCAGAGTTACTCCCATCGTCCACTTCTAGATTAACGGGAAGCCTCTGGTATACTGCCGTAACATCTGCTAGCTGCAGTCGAGCGCCATCTGGTAATTGGTAACGAACATGTGGTTGTAGTACCATCTGAAAATAAAAACCACGTTAAAGCTCGTAATCATCAGTAGTAGTAGTAGTATTATTTGTAATAATGATGTATGATATCAACTGTAATCTTCTGGATTGCGATGCTAAGTAGTCTTGTAGGTGGCTACCATCACCAATGTTTCCCAGTAATATATCAATGCCATCTTCAGGGTAAAAGATAAATATTATGTTTCTAAGACATTGGTAACAACCTACAAGATATATAGGTTTCGTGACATTCTCACAGAATGCAAAACTACTTACCAAAGAACCATACCTGAATCTTTAATATCTTAATTCTCACTAACTATAATCCAGATGTTAAAATCATAAAAAAAGATTATAATTTTCTGAGAACATAAAAAGTTTACCTTGCCAATGCGTGTCTTGTTTCGACTACCGAGGTCATAAACTAGATGAACATCTTCATCGATGACTTCAATAACAGCATGTTCCTTTGATAATGCCTAAAATAAGAATAAAGGGCACTTTAGAAAACTTCCAGCGTTACTTACACGTGTTCACATCCACGGTTCACAGCCGACATTTTAGAAGAAACTGGTATAGTTCACAGCTGAGTTTAGCGCTGTAATCTGATAGCTATCAGTTGTCAGTATTACACAAAGTCAAGCCAATGGAGGAACACAAATGTCTCCGTGGAATAGACGGAAAATGAAAAAAGCAGGTGTTGCTCACGAGGGCCACTGCACTGAAAACATTGTCGGTCTCTTTCTTCCTTTACTCGGTTTCTTATCTTTAATGGAGCCTTAAAGCACAGTAAACAGCATCTCAACACTTCGTATGCAGAGTGAACTTAATGAGACAAGTCTATAACAATAACCATGTGGCATAATGACAGATTGAAAAGACTCGTAGTTACGGTTATAAAGCCAATTTCTCTTCTAGGTTTATGGATACCTGTAACATGAACTTACAACCTTCTACCACGGATTCTAATGAATACACCTCACTCACAACCACAGACAATACTACAATGAAATGGGCCGCATCCTCAAATTAATTTATATTGTGGACCTTTGGATTACAATGCTGCATAGACTGGCATGTTTGGCATTTGACACCTGCTCCCGGCTAGGGGCAGGATACTCCATCCACGGTCCGGCTCCTATAAACCCAGCCCCACCCACCCAATTGGCACATTCATCGCCCTGATGACAGAGGCAGTATGACCTCTGAAACGTTGGTAAACATCGACCAGACTACACAGCGCAACAACCAAGAAGACAGAAATCATCAATTAGCCATTACTTTACTCTCAGGTTAAAAGTGTGCAATGAAGATGGAGGTCACAGGTTCTTCCAAAATATTAGTAACCACCTACAAGTCGACACGGTGTCACGACCCACAAGATAACATTTCAAATTTTCACCACCATGAAAACCTCAATTCTCATCCTCAGACAAATTTTCCATGTTCTAATTTATAGCCCTGATGAAGATTTCTGTCTTCTGGGTTGTTGCGCTGTGTAGTCTGGTCGATGTTAACCAACGTTTCGGAGGGCATACTGCCTCCGTCATCAGGGCGATGAGAATGAAGATTTCTGTCTTCTGGGTTGTTGCGCTGTGTAGTCTGGTCGATGTTAACCAACGTTTCGGAGGGCATACTGCCTCCGTCATCAGGGCGATGAGAATGAAGATTTCTGTCTTCTGGGTTGTTGCGCTGTGTAGTCTGGTCGATGTTAACCAACGTTTCGGAGGGCATACTGCCTCCGTCATCAGGGCGATGAAACCCAGAAGACAGAAATCTTCATACTCACCGCTGTGAAAACGTCAAATCCTATATACCCCTTATGTTTCTATTCACATAATCACCCCCACTTCCTTCCATCTCTATAACAACCCCTCAGGTATGCATAATTCTCCTAAGTTTTCAAGTAAATTCTTGCATGCAATTCTCATATTTCTCATGTGTGCTACATACCCTGTCCATCTCACAGTCCTTGACTTTATCGTCTTCATACAATTTCCATAATTAATTGTTTATATTTAGATCATTTTATGGGGTTCATGTGGCAATTAATTCAATGCTTTCTAATTTATACTGCTGCAAGCATGAGGTAGCAGATTATGATGTAACAAGAGAAACTTTCTGCTATCTGCTAGCAAAATAGTTAAATATCTATAAATATTTTTCCACAAAAAATCTGAATTGGAATCTTAGACACGAATAATTTTATTTGAGGAGGAATGTTAAACAATTCCATGGTTTTATATTTTACGTTTTTATACTAAATATGGTGTCTCTAAATTACATAAACAGAAATTACTGGTATGTGTATTATCACGTTATTCCGCCACACATATGCAAACTTGCATTTTCAAAATTTCAGTTTTTAATGGACTTCAGAAGCAGACCTAGAAATTAAAGGTAATTAAGTGCCTGACTATCAGTTCAAATTTGTAACATAAAATACATAATTTTTCTCATTACTGGTTTGTCTCTAATGCTAACAACAGACAGGCAAAATATATCATACCTTATCATCAGACACATTTGAGGCAGTCAAAAAAAAAAAAAGAAGATACAATGAACAAACAGTAACAGTAAATCATTCACCTCTGTTTACAAGCACTGCTTATCTAGCACCAGTGAGACTGATAAGTGTAATTAGAACTGCGGCAAACTAATATAAGTTTAAACGATGAACTTTCTATTAGAATGGAAGTGTCATTCCACTTGCGAACTGCCCTTATGCGCAACATGCTGTGGGCAACGTTTCTACCGATAACTGCAGTTCTGGTTTTTGGGGCTGTCCCACCCCAACTGGGACCACTAGTCCACGTTGAACAGGGAGCATTACGTGGAACTTATCTCACTTCAGCTGGTGGAAGAATATTTTCAGCATTTCAAGGAATACCATATGCACGGCCACCTACAGGAAAACACCGGTTCAAGGTACTAGTAAGGGTCCGGATCTAAATTATAAAACTAAGAAGCGGAATACAAAACTTGATGTATCACCAGACGTCTGGATGTATACTCTACAATAGTCTGTTATAGATACAATAAACTCATAAAAATTACTGAAAGCTACTGAAGAAAATGCTAACTGCACTGGCATCCATCACGTGGACTAAGTTTGAGTAAAGTGATTATGAAACATAAAGAAACAATCTTAATAAAAATTACAATATTTTCCAAAAACTTTATACACTTGCACGTCACTCAATATTCATTAATCATCCTATCACTTGATGTTATATTGTATGATCTACTGAAAGTGTCATTATACATACCACATATAACTAATTAAACTTTCTTTTGTTGTTTTAGTGAGTACATTTTCTACAGATTAACTAAGATAATTTGAAGATGACTAAAGTTAACATTCTTAACGATGACATTGGAAGCTAATATGCCATTCATTATAAAACTTCAATTTTTTTTAGGACCCATCACCAGCCAAACCATGGAGAGGTGTATGGCCAGCTATAAAACCAGGGAGCCAATGTCTGCAATACAATACAGTCGCCACAAAACACCCCAATCCCCAAGGAGACGAGGACTGCCTATATCTTAACGTATATTCAACCATGGTACGCACTCTTAATATCTTCATTTTCATAATATGGCGATGGATGTTGAAGGCATCATGCCAGAAGAGCATTATGAATATATCTGCATGATCGGAGATACTGGGTCTAACAACATAAAATAGTGGGATGTACGTCATGCCGGAAGGTCGTAATGCTGATGCTCCTCTGCACAGAGATATAGACAGCTACACTTGGGTGTATAAACTTTAATCCAGTCCATGCTATCTTTACTAGTATCCTATAATCAAAATCTAGGTTTCTCAAGTTGTCTCTTTCCTACAGATCTTTCAACTATATCTGTTTATATATTTCTCATATATTCATGTGTGCTACATATCCTACTCATCGCATGCTCCATGATTTAATTTTTCTAATAACATTTGGTGAAGAGTACAAATTAATTTGTTAATGCATAATTGTATACTCCTCCAGCTACCAGCTGGTGGTGGTGCTCCACTACTGGATGTTATCGTCAACATCCATGGAGGAGCCTTCATATTTGGTGCAGGTAGTGATAGCGGTCCAAAATATCTCATGGATCGAGATTTAGTCTTTGTAACTTTCAACTACAGACTAGGACCACTAGGTAAGACCAAATAACTTCTCTCTCAGAAACTATTTCAGTACATTTTATTAATGTTACCATGACAAAAGAGGGGGTCCATAGTGGCTGTGCGGTCTGAGATGTGGGCCTTGTGCCGCTTGGTCGCTGGGACCGTGGGTTCGAATCCCACTCAAGCCATGGATGTTTGTCCGCGTTTTTGTGTGTTGTACTGTCCTGTGTACAGGTAGAGGCCTTGCGACGAGCCGATCCCTCGTCCAAGGAGTCCTACCGAATGTCTAATAGATCAAAGCCAACAAAAAGTTGGGACCCACTGTGCTCGGGCACTTGAAGAACGGGTCGTTCCCAGTATCCCAGTATGACAATAGAGACCAAGTGTGGAATTTCAATTTGCTTCATATATGAAGGTCTGAAGGCCTAAATATGCTTCACTAATGTGTTTAAATAATAAGAAGCAAGGGTTTCTTCCAAGTAATTTCGCTGCTTGGAACCTCACATCTCAAAAATCACAAGCAGTACAAATGTGAAAAGACTTCACAATAAGCTACATATTTTAACTATTTATTTATTGTTTCATGACACTCTCAGCAGGTCGGAATAAACGGCATCATATGATAGGATTCATAAATAATGAATTAGAAATGATGTACAAGGAAGCTGTTATAGCCTAATTAAAGGTACTACATTGGCATTTACTTGTCGGGACTGAGAAAAACCACAAAAACCTCACAGCCATTCTCCAGGACCTCTCACATACAAAGCAGGAGTGCCAATCACTTGATCACAATGTTTGGCGATATTCTATCAAAAACAAAAAACTTAATAAATATAAGAAAAAGTAACCACAAAATTTGAGATATCAATTTTTTTTAACAGTAGCCAATTTTGTTAAACTTTAATAACTTTTCTAAAGAGTACCTGCTAAAAATCGTCATAATGTTATAATATTAGTTATCAAACGGTATATTTTGTCACATTTCACTTCTTATCTCAAAATTTCTTGTATTTTAAACTTCACTGTGATTATAATCGGATGTTAAATGTAACTGTTGTAGGTTTCCTGAGCACAGAAGATGAAGTGGTCCCAGGTAATATGGGATTAAAAGATCAAACTGCAGCACTGCGTTGGGTACAAAGAAATATTGCTTCATTTGGCGGAAACCCAGCAAGTATAACTATAACCGGTCAATCCGCAGGTGGTGCCAGTGTCCATTACCACTACCTGTCACCATTATCTCACGGTAAGGTAATCCTAAGATCCAAAAAGCAGCACCAATAGATTTGTAGTTTATTTAATGACACTTTTTCAGGAGATCAGACTATATAGCAGCAAGTGAGATGATGATAGTGAATTGGAAATGATGTGGAAGAAAGAGGTCATGGCCTAATCTAAGGTACTATACTGGCATTTGCCCCGAGGGACTAAGGAAAACCCAGTCAGGATAGCTGGTCTCTGGGCCAAGACTTGAACCTGGACCTCCTGAATACGAAGCAAGAGTGTTAATCACTCGACCAAAACGTTCAGGTCATGCACTTGTTTGTTGTTCTGTGTGGGTGTGAAACTTGGTCCCTCGCCCTACAGAATAATGCAAATAGAGGATGTTTGAGGAAAGGGTGGTGAGGAAAATATCTGGAGCTCAGACAGAGTAACAGGAGATGTAGAAAATTACATAACGAGGAGTACTACAATTTGTAATATACACCAAACATGATGAAGTATGTGTGGAAATGTAGGATGTATGTGGAAGATGAGAAATTCATACAGAAGTTTAGTTACAGAACCTTAAAGATACTATTTAGGAGACCTAGGAATAGATGAGAGCATAATACTAAAATGGATCTGAAAGAAATATAATGAGGACTGAATTTAATTAGTTACAAGAGAGTCCAATGGTGAGACTAAAAGAAGATGCACAGTGAATATAATGAAATACACAATTAATTATTAAAATGACTGTTGGAGTGTTACCTGAACCAAATCAACAAACAAATGGTGAAAACCTGCAAATCTAAAAACACAACCAATTCCCTAACAAACTTTTTTTAAAGATTCAAGATATTGACTATGGAATTATTAAAATTAGGTATGAATCAATAACACTCCGCATTTTAAAATTGCAAAGTTTAAAATTTTCGATTCCATTAACCAATAAATAAAAAGGTGCTTGTCACTGCAACACCATATGTTTGCCACTATGTAACATGAGAGATGGTCACTTACATTAAGGGACATAAAATGTACCAATTATTTGAAGATGGCTCTCTTATGGGATGCAGTGGGAGGCAACAAGGACCTCTGAAACATCACTAAACATCTACCAGACTATACAGCACTACAACCGAGAAGACAGCCATCTTCTTTTTACTCACCGTTGTGAAAACCAAAAATTCTATCTGTTAATTATTTTACAACAAAAATGTATGGTTGCTGATAGGCTTATTCCAACGAGGGATTTCCCAGAGTGGAAGCGCTTTATGTCCATGGACACAGATGGAAAATGGAAGAATAAAAGCAATGAAATTAGCACAAGAACTGGGGTGTAACACACAGACATCACGCGAGCTACTGGACTGCCTGAGACATCGACCAGCAAGCATGATTGTTCAACAGGTTGCAACATTCCAGGTAAAACTTTCTAAGGACAGAGTGAAATCTCAGCCTTATATTATATATATCTTGTTAGTGATGATTTATTTATCTGAGTATCTAGCTGGTGTTGATAAAATACAAAACATTTCTGCAAGCTTTCCGCTTCAGTTTAACAGAACATTTTTAAAATCAAAACAGCCATTAAAAGTGGATGGGATAAAATGGGCAGGTCATGTAGCATACCCATGAGCAGTGGATAGAGCTGGATAATAAATAATTTTAAATATGTAAATGTTTCACTACACAAGGCGTGTCATGTTAGAGGACTTAATTTGTTAATTTGAGTTTCTGAGATGTATATTAATCAGGAATTATTTTTTTATGCTCTCCACTTAGGGTTGGCAGAACATGCCATTTTCTCCATTTGGTCCCACTGTAGAGGTGGCGGGTGTTACTCCATTCTTGGACAGACAACCAATTGATATACTTTTAGATGGGAATGTCCAAAATCTACCTTGGATCACAGGCGTTACAACAGAAGAAGGACTTTACCCTGCAGGAAGTACATACCAAATCTCCTCATTGTGAAATACTTAAGAATATCGGCTGGCACGGGTTTTGTCATATCTCACAACAAAGTAAAATCTGTGAGATTTTAGGTTCTCATGTTGGCAAGCATGAAGATGACTGCGGTTCTTCAATTTCTCTGTTTCACAAAGAAATTAATTAGAACACCTTAATCTGAAAGTGTTATAGTTTAATTTATGATTTATGAACTATACTGAACTACTTCAAGATCAAAGCTTGTGGTAACACAAGTTTTTCATTGGCTCCTGATATAAAATTACGTAATTAATTAGACGATAACAGAAACACAACTAAAACAAGTTTTTCATAGATAGATTGAAAAGAATATAATAGTATCAGTATCTGGAATATACAAGACTTTGCTGCAAACATACCATCAATGGTCAATAAAAGTCATGAAATTATTCCTTTTCTTAATATTTTAATTATTATGGCCTGCTTATCCACAATAATTTTAGGAAACAGTACAAGTACAAAAGCAGTGAGCATATTTCCTTACACGTTTGAACTTACTGACAGGTTGGGTGGAAAATGAAGACATCTTGAACGAAGTACAGAACAGATTCAGTGAGCTTGCACCTCTCATATTAGATTACAACTATACTGTGCCAGAGGAGCAGAAGCAAGCCGTGGCTCAGAGCATTCACCAGTTTTACCTTCAGGGTAAAACAATATCCCCAGAAACTACAAGCAACTTCATACAGGTAAGCTAAACAGAAACTGTCACAATAAAGAAATGCTGATGATTAAAAACTGCAGGAGTATAATGCAATAAATTAAATAAAAATAATGTAGTAATTAATTATGAAATCATTGCCAGACAGCGCAGTATACATTACCAAGAAGCATCTTCAGCTACGGACGTTGAGAAAAGCGGAATTTAGGAAGACCACAAATGAGATGCTTTGAACAGTTTGTGTAACCTTAGAAAAGGTCTATGTAACGAAGAAAAGGAAGAAATTACTTTAGTGTAATTAGCAAATTAAATAACATTTTAATACATTTTGAGCCAAAATTTCATATCGTGTTATAAAGCTCAGTACCATTTGAAACCAAAATTTATATATTCAACAGTATGCTAATAGGTAGCATCACAATTAATTATTTCCAGATGACTGGCGATCGCCACTTTGTTGTGGAAGCTGAACGAGCAGCTAGAATTCAAGCAGCTGTCAACTCAGCACCAGTCTACTTCTACCAATTTGGCTACAGAGGGCATCACAGTGTATCTGAATACCTGTCAGGAACAAATATTAATTTTGGTACAACCATATAACATACCCATGTTCATTCTCACCTTTCATTAACTGTAGATACAAATTTATTGCAGATAAAGCTAATAAGGAACATGCAACTTCCCATATTTAATTAATTCTTTCATATTTTAATAACCACAAATATATAAATATTTAGGAAGTGACTACAGACTGGATAACCGGGGATCAATCCCTGGCAGGGGCAAAGGATTCTCCCAGCCTCTGCATCCAGTCCAGCTCTGACGCCTATCCAAAAGGGTACCAGGGCGTAAAGTGCATTTGGAGCATGATGCTGACCACTCACCCCCACCTAGTACATTAGGCAATGACCACGTAATTCCACATCATTTCCAATTCATTATTCACTATCATAATCTCATTGAAAGCTAAATAATCTGAGTTATCAACAGCATCATTAAAAAAACAATAAATAAATATATACTGAAAGGGATACTGAGCCATGAAGCTTCAGGTGCCAAAGTATGTGAGTAGACAACAAGCCATTCCTCCTAAACTGTTTATTCCTTCCAGGTGTTAGTCATGCAGACGACTCAACTTTTGTACTACAACTTCCCTACAGTAATACTGAGGAGACGCAACAAGACAAGGATATGTCTAAAGTACTTGTAGACATATGGGATAGTTTCAACAGAAATGGGTATGACTGTACATACTGTGTGATATATCTTTGATAATACAATATTTTATTTTCCGTCTATACACAAACTTAAAATAATGTTGTTTAAAATTACTTAAAATTATAACATTCTCAGTAGATACTGCATCTTGTTACATTTTTTGTATTGACGACATGTTTCAATGTGTATTACATCATCATCAGGTCTATCAATTTTAAAAACTGTTGTACATCTTGCGTTGCTTATATTGATTTGTTTGATTTTAAGTCTTTGTCTCTTCTTTTAATTTTGGAGGTTGTGCTTGGATGTTTTATATCGGGTTGTAAGTGATGTGTTGTGTGTCCGATATTAAGAGACGGTCGTCAATACAAAAAATGTAACAAGATGCAGTATCTACTGAGGATGTTATAATTTTAAGTAATTTTAAACAACATTATTTTAAGTTTGTGTATAGATGGAAAATAAAATATTGTATCAATAAAACACAAACATGACGCAATTAAGATATAAAAAAAATCTTTGATAATGTTGCATGTAATACTGTTACACTTTCAACGGTCGATAATCTGGCGGTGAGTTTCTTCTGTGAAACAATATCTACCAGCTGTGCTATTAAATTTTTCATAAACTATGTCAGAATGCATAAGAAATGTATAAATTACAATGAAGGGTTTATAACAAACTGGGGATAGATTCCACTAATTGAATGAAGTAGAGCAAACAACGTACCACCTTCCACGAAACCCCATTCATTCTGAAAACTTGTGCCATTATCGAAGTTTATTATTTTACTTTCTGCGTATCATATAGCAAAAGAGGCATTATGAATTATAACACTTCCCTTCACTTGTTACAGTAATCCTGTTCCCAGTGGAAGGAACTTCACTTGGGAACCAGTGACAGCCAGAAGTGACGAGCTTACATATTTGTATATCGCTAACAGCAGCCACTTGGAGATGAGATGCAGCCTTGACTTGGGAAACAGAGAATTCTGGGATTCCCTTCCAATCAGCGAATCTCAAATTAGCATAAATGTTCAAAACATACAGCAAAAAACTCACGAGGAGCTATAGTGATTAAACACTGAGAAGACTTAAAAATCTTGCAGATTATACAGAAACATTACTCAAAAGAAACAGCTATTATCAGTTTTATAACCTCAAAATGGGCTTCAAGTACCCATTCTTTGTAGAGGAAGAATATTAACATGAAATAAACTGTATATTACACAAAACTAACCACAAAGTCCGTGTATTATTTTATTTTTTAATCCTCTTTGCTTTAGCTGAATCTTCCAATCATATAATACATATCCATTTCTCCCTGACATGACAATTGTTAAAACTTTATATTTATTTACCGCTTTACTCCCCATGTTTCTCCACCATATCTTTCATAAGGAAGAAGACAGATACCTACTCTGTGGGTCCTTTAAATCAGTGGTATTTTTCGTTCGCGTACCCCCAGATATACTTTTTCTTCAACTTTGTACCCCCAAAGTTGTTGGTGTATAATTCAAGTTATACGTAGTATATAATCTACATCTAAAATAAATTAAATAAATTACATTACTGATTATTCAGTGTTTATCATAAAATAATATATTTTTTTTAAATTTCACGTACCCCCTAAGATGTCTTCGCGTACCCCAGGTTGAATACCACTGCTCTATAATGAACAATCCAAATCTCAGGACACACTGCGCAAAGACAAGGGGAGATCCAACTACTGAAACATGGCTTCATTTTACCACAATGAACAATGAATTTTCTCCAGAAGAACAAAAATATTGTATGTAATACTCCATCATTAGAAAAAAAAATAAGAACCACAGGATGAACCAGGAACATTACTTCTATGACTGTAAAGACTATTGTATGCAGTTAACAGTATAAATATTTCACATTAATACGAAATAAGAATTTACTGTCAACAAGTGTTAATCCCAGGACCTTATCTTCCTTCGTTTAATTTACTCCGGTAGATGTCAAAAACTTGGCTTGAAAAAAACTAAATGAAGACAAATGTTAATTATGTTTCTGGAGACTGAGTTCAGTGTACGAAATTTATCACTGTTATCTCTTTATGCTTGACCTCTTACTTATTTAATCCACTGGCAATCTAAAAAACTTAAACGGTTATTTACTTATAAAGAGTGAATGACACTTATTTAAAAAGTGAACAGAGGACAAAATTAACATCATAATAATGAAGCTTTCTGTCTTCTGGGTTGTTGTGCTGTGTAGTCTGGTTGATGTTAACCAACGTTTCAGAGGTCATACTGCCTCCGTCATCAGGGCGATGAGTATGAAGATTTCTGTCTTCTGGGTTGTTGCACTGTGTAGTCTGGTTGATGTTAACCAACGTTTCAGAGGTCATACTGCCTCCGTCATCAGGGCGATGAGTATGAAGATTTCTGTCTTCTGGGTTGTTGCGCTGTGTAGTCTGGTTGATGTTAACCAACGTTTCAGAGGTCATACTGCCTCCGTCATCAGGGCGATGAGTATGAAGATTTCTGTCTTCTGGGTTGTTGCGCTGTGTAGTCTGGTAGATGTTAACCAACGTTTCAGAGGTCATACTGCCTCCGTCATCAGGGCGATGAGTATGAAGATTTCTGTCTTCTGGGTTGTTGCGCTGTGTAGTCTGGT